AACAAATTCCAACATGATGATGAAAGGCCAAAATAGGTAAAGATTCAACCTTTTTTTCAATAATACAGAATCAGTGCTCGTGCAAATATATTTAGTTTTCTTTTTCAAATTGTCAACAAAATTTTGCTTTTTTTTTTCATTTTTCATGACTATTTTTTTTCAAGGCTTGAAGGAGACAGGTTTATTGACACATAAAGCACATTTCTACATTTGCTGGTACCCACCCAGCAACAGAGTTCTAGATTTGACACCACAAATCATATACAGCACCCTGTCTCATAGATCAACCATTTATATAGTGTCACAATATACTGCTGTAATTACAGAGATAGTGATTTATGCATAGTATTATAAAAAATAACATATGGGGTAAATGTTTTGTACAGTCATGTTTCAGCTTTAGGGGTATAAACTGCAGTGTTCAAATATCAAGCATGTTCGAGAAAAAAACAAAACTTTTTTTTGACACTGTTTATCGCATCCAAGCAATCAATTGTTTGAACCAATTTGTTACGGATTTAATTTATATACATGAAATAATTATTCAACCAAAAATGCCACACCCACCCACCTTTCGCATTGTATTCTGTACTATACTTTAGAATTCACATAGTGTAAAATACTTTATTTTCGCTTTGAAATAATTTTTGCTATTTTCACTGAAGGAATGATTCAGTTAAAATAAAATCCAGTGAATATCCCTTTCTTCCTGTATTTTACATTCAACTCGTCAAAAATCAGTGAAAATAAATTCCATACAAAACACCCAAAATTAATTCCAGCTAAAATAAAATATTTTACAGTATTAGACAGAGAAGGCGACAGATACAATTATATTCCAGGAAACAGCTTCCAAATTAAATTTAGGAAATGGATGGGAAAGGCATTTGTTATATTGTTTCTGGTAGGCCAATATAATACATTTAATTACTAAGTACATGTACCATTTGCTTTGACAAGATTCTTGTTGACACTGTTTATCAGCAGTTAAATTGTCACTCACACAAATTGATGAGTTAACACGTCATCAATTTTTTAAAAATTATTACCAGATTTCTTTCTCACAAATTAGAATATGAATTTGTCTTAGGTCATTTATCAAACCTTTCACGTTTAAAAATTGACAATTTTGATTAAAAAAAAAAACGCAAAACATACCACACTTGATACATATTATGTATAATTTTATACTGTCACCCTGTCAAAACGGTTACTAAGATACGATACAAACTGATTGTGACAGGACTGACATGCATCTAATTGTTCATGAAAAATTGCTCATTATTCTTATAAATGGATTTCGTTCTCATTAACAGCAAGCTGCTAGTCCCATAATGCATTTCAAAAGAGGAGTACTGACTCAGAGAAAATTAATATATGTATTTAGAAACTTATTTTTCAACCTTTCATATTACTGGTGCACAATATTAGAATTCTTATATACTGGATTATTCAGACTGGAAATGAAGGTCACAGTTTTCACCTGAGATTACTTTCTACCACTAAGGCCAAACTTTTATTATTCCTTGTTTCGCGAACCCGTCGAATGAACAGGAATCTTAATTTTTTTTCTGACCGCGGCATAACAAATCCAAGTTGCATTTTCGTGGGAGTATCATGATCAAAGTACCGAAGTCTCGTGCAGATGAGAAACAAGATTATACATGGAATAAAATTTTATTTCATTTCTTCTCTCTGATCAATGATCTCACTTACAATTCTTTGAGAATTACACAAATCTAATGGAAAAAAATAATTATTTTTTTTTTTTTCGCCCTCCTCAAAAAATTTGCCTTATAAAAACTCAAGAAACAAGGAATAAAAAAAGTCTGGCCTAATGCAGTGTTGTTGTTTTTTGAAGAGTTTCATTTCTTGTTATGATGAGTAAACAAACACATGACTCTAGATCCCTATTTCTAATTATTTTGTGTGATTGTATTAAATCAGTCTTTTAAGATTTAGCCAGCAATCTCATTCAATGGAAAGAACCATAGGTGCTCAATTGAGTTGAAGCACATATACAAGCCAGAAATTGCCACGTCAAAACAAAATGTGAAAAAACAAGCTGTTCTCTGATTGGTCTGACTGTTAGGTGTTTGGGTTTTGTAGCCAATCAAGTACAATCTTTTAGCCTTAGGTGCTCTGCATTTCATGGGTTTAACCCTAACCTCCAAAGTACCTAACACCACAAATGATAAAACCCCAGAGGTGGGTTTACTTTGTCAGTCTTTTCTGCAATTTCCTTCATTCATTTTATGACAAAGATATAAAAATACTACCTTTTCATCAGCTGACTACACTTTTTAGTATTTTAATGTATTAATTTAAAATCTCAAGGTATCCTAACCTGAATACTAATTAATTATGAATTTAGAAACTTTTAAATATTCTGCGCTTTGTTCACATAAATTGTTATTTTTCACTTACGACATTAAAAAGATTTGCTACCTCTTCAAGGAACACAAAAAATATATTCACTGCGTAGGACAATGGCAAACAGCCAAGCCTTGAGGACTTTGCTGTCTGCCAGTCTACCATAAAAACACTTAATTGTATGAATAAAAATAACTAATAGGATATACCCCCGGTATACTGCTGTAACCATTTCAAAGACTTTTTCTCATAGCTTTAGAGGTACATGTACATGTACATTCAGGTTATTTATCAAGATGGACTTGTTGCAGTGTTTTGGAGTTTGACAATTTAGGCTGAGAAAAAAAATATCTCTGTTTCTCGTTTTTTTCCTTCTAAAGCATTCCAAAATGCGCTTGTACTCTCACTTGTCTCAAATTTCCCCCATTTAGCTCAGTATTCAAAAAAAAAAAAAATTGCCTCGCTGCCTCATTTTAAAATTTTCATGAAACGAGAAACAGAATTTTTTTTCCTGACCTTAGAATCACTCAGCACTGAAAAATACTCTTAACACATTGGAGACCAACTTCATATGGCACTACAGGTATTTTGAATAATTCATGATAAACGTAAACCGAAAATCATGTGGAAATGCACCCATACTATTCAAATAAAAGTATCTGTCGGAATTTAGTAAATATAGTCCAACAAGTAAAGGAGTAAAATTTGCATACTTTTCTGATCGATTTGGGTAATATTTTTTTTTATTTAAATATTTGGAGTAAACAAACTTGTTAAAAGTAAGCCTAGAAGTGAGTAGAAATACACAATAGGTGCTCATGATACTACGCGACATTCAGGTATGGTGAGAGGCATGAACAAGTTTTGCATGACTCAGCTCTTTTATTTAATGTTTTGGAGAGTCCAAATAAAATGAACGAATAGTTTTATCAGACCCAACAATTGAAAGAGGTGGTAATTTATCAGTATATTCTCAATTTTAAATCAGAAATTTTACAGAATTGTTGTCATCAGCGAAATTCAGCAAACAAAATAAATATTCATATTTAAAAAACAAAACTTGCATAACTTTCATACTTTTTAATCAAAAAATATCATAATCAATACATTATCTAGCAGTCTGCCTGTATGCCTGTAGGTTGTTCTCAAAGGTAAAGAGCAAGGTACTAAAATATAGATTTTTTCTTTTCAAATACGCATAAATTGTGAGGGTATTTTTAGATTTTTATAATTGGGAGTTAAATGTATGAAAACCGCAATTAAAACAAACTGACAGTGAAGTTCAATGATAACAACAGTCTAAAAAAGTGTGACTCAAAGATACATGTGGTCGATACGATCTATTCTTCACTACACAGAATATTAATGAGCTGTCAATCACACACACAGCAAATGAACTTAAATTACAATATTATTCGTACATGTATCAATGTCAAATTTGTTAATATAAATTGATTGGACAGATAATTTAATGTCAATTGGACACAGAGTGTTAGTAAATGACATACAAACAAATTAATACATTACTACCACATTTGCAATTATTAAAAATGTACTATCGACTCAACAAACCATTTGCTTTATTGTAATAAATATTTATCTGTCATTGAAATATATAAATATTTATAAATATTTCTAAAAATGAAGATGTGTCAAAAGTATTTGCTTACATATATGTAAATGATATTAATGTGACTTTGGTGTACAAACTAGCTCACATGTAAACTTCTAATAGAACAAATATGGTGAGTATAATAGAATATATGAGATGAAAACTCAAAGATGTGATATTCAGAGTGAAACACTGAATAACTATTATCGCATGGTGTTATGGGCTTTATTATGCACTCAAATTTAGAATTATTGCCAATCAGAAGTTTAGAATTATTGCCAATCAGAAAGTTTACAATTATTGCCAATCATAAGTTTAGAATTATAGCCAATCAGATGTTTGGAATTATGCCAATCAGAAGTATGGAATTATGCCAATCAGAAGTTTGGAATTATGGCCAATCAGAAGTTTAGAATTATGGCCAATCATAAGTTTAGAAATATTGCCAATCAGAAAGTTTAGAATTATTGCCAATCAGAAGTTTAGAATTATGGCCAATCAGAAGTTTAGAATTATGCCAATCAGAAGTTTAGAATTATTGCCAATCAGAAGTTTAGAATTATGGCCAATCAGAAGTTTAGAATTATGCCAATCAGAAGTTTAGAATTATGCCAATCAGAAGTTTAGAATTATGGCCAATCAGAAGTTTAGAATTATGGCCAATCAGAAGTTTAGAATTATGCCAATCAGAAGTTTAGAATTATGGCCAATCAGAAGTTTAGAATTATGCCAATCAGAAGTTTAGAATTATTGCCAATCAGAAGTTTAGAATTATGCCAATCAGAAAGTTTAAAATTATTGTCAATCAGAAGTTTAGAATTATGGCCAATCAGATGTTTAGAAATACGGCCAATCAGAACTTTAAAATTATGGCCAATCAGAACTTTATCATCATAGCCAATCTGAAGTTTAAAAATATGGCCAATCTTCAACGATAGTATGTACTTTTCTTAAGCTTCTATTCGACAAATGCACTATAACCATATAAAACTGAATTAAGCTCACCTGAATGCAGTTATATTCCCGATGGTTTATTCCTTACTTTTCTTGGGCTAGTTGGTGTTTTTCTTTCAATTTTGATTTCACTCTTTGATATGGCACTTTTAGTCTGCTGATATGTATTGTAGTTTGGCTTCTCATTCTGGTTCCCATGGTAATGAGTCACTTCCCCGGAAAGTCCAAACTCAGCAGTATTTGAAGAATTCATTGTTGAATCAAAGTCAGTGGTGCTACTACTTTTTGTATCAAACATATCCGCATGGAAAAAGTCCCCGCTGTTGACATCGTTTTCTTCAAAACTGTTCCCAATTTGCAATCGTAAGCCATTTGAAGTAGCGAATAACACGGGCACCTGATATCCCAGATTATTCAGGGGTTGCTTCTTTTCAGGTAGGCTTTCCGCAGGTGGAGCACTTGTAGGGACGGAATGAACAACAGTCTTGTTCTGTATAATATGGACAGGAGTGTTGTTTCTTGGACTAGCAGCTACAGTGCTATCTCGGTTACATGTAAAAACATCTTTTAAATCTTGCCAGGCCTCTGGACGCATCACAAATGTCAGAAACGGGAAAACAACAGCAAACAACAGCCTCATCCAGACAAAAGCAGTTTGCATACCACTGGAATAGTCAATATCAATGTTAACGGAATTTTCTATTATTGGTATATTCTCGTATTGTCCAATGGCAGCCATCAGTAAATACGGACCACAGAGAAGACACCATGCAATCTGAATAATCCCCGCCTGCTTTGCGGATTTCATCTCCTCCCAGAGGGGCGGACGTTCAAACAGATCGTTGGCGTAATGCATCTGCGTGTTCATCGCTCTAACGCGAAGTTTTTCCTTCACCCCTACCCTAATTATGATGATGTAGGCTACAAAGATAAAAACAATCGGCAAAATGAAACAGAAAAGGGAGACGAACACTAAATAAACAAACGTCGTGTCATTGGCCACAGAGCAGAGAAACCGTGAATTAAAATATTGACTGGTGATTGCTTGTACAAGTAACGGAAATGCGAACGCAACTCCTAGTATCCATGTTCCACATATCAGTAAGTTTGTCCGTAAACGGGAAAACTGGTCGGGATATATGTGTGGGGATCTGGCAGCCACAAGGCGGTCGACTGCCACTAAAGCGAGTCCAAGAAGAATTGCGATATCAACAAGCTGAAGGAAAAACGCATTATATTGGCACATGAACTCGCCGATGGGCCACGATCCGACGATGCTTGCACCTAAAATAAGAGGCATGTTCAGAACAGTGTCACAGAGAAGAGCGCAACTGATATTCAATACGAATAAGTTCAGGACGTAGTGTTTCAAGCGATCACTACTCGCGATTGCAATGATCAAACTGACGTTTCCGATCAAAGACAAGACGATGAAAAGAAAGAGAAACGTCGATCTCACACCAGCCGATGTTACATTAGCAGACTGGTTAGTAACGCCGACAGGCTGGGTAATGTTCAAACTCGACTCTGTGTTAGTGTCGCCTACATCCATGTTTTCACGGTCTTCCGCCTCACTTCCAAACGAATGTTTTCATCGAAGGTCAACAACGCAAACTGACAGCATAGATAACGTCGGGCAACAGGTTATCGGAAATGTCAGAAATAATTTCATGTCTTCTGGGACTAATGACGACAACTTGGAGAAGTGTAATTATTATTCAGCTCAACTAAATCAATAAAATATAGCACGCCGACACTTCCAAGATCTTCGAATGAAACACAACGACACCACTGACTGAGGCCCATCAAAGCAAGGAAAATGGCGAACTTTAGCATAATAATTGAATTTGCATAATAATAGAACTCCGTGATTATAATGTTAATGTCGACCACCAACAGAGATATGCGAAGACGAAATGCGTACAAACTTGCACAACATTCAAATAATGCACTCAGAAAAAAATTCTTTCAGTGCATTTGCAGATTGAACAATTAACGTTTTTGTTTTGTTTTTGCGTTTTCATTAGAGAAATATTGGCGGCAACAGTACCCTAATACAAAATGTAATAATGAATACCGAAATTGTAGCTTTTATAGGTTAAAAATGTACTGTAATTTTCACTAGGTTTAAATTTCGCTGATTTACCATTTTAGGAATATCCAGTGTGTTTTAAATTCACGGTTTCATCATTTAGATAATGTGTTCTATGCTAAATTTTACATATTCACTGGGTTTTAATTTAGCACATTTTCCAGTCTGCGAAATAAGCAAAATTAAAACCCAGTGAATAATTAATCTTTTTACAGTAATCCCATTCCAGACACTTTGTGCTTATAAAAGCAACGATCAAAACACACATATATTATGAACGAATAAAAATATTAGTCCCATCTGCTACAACATCACACGGAAATCGTCCCACCACCGTTCCCGCAACGACGAGTTTATAATACTAGTTTATTAAATTTGACCCAATGAATAGCAAACAGATATTTATATGGAAGTCACACACCTGACACTTACCCCTTCCCAATTCCGAAGTTTTGTTTATTCATTTCGCGTAGAGTTATAATCGCCGAGACTTACAGTGCGCCCTCGTCGATGGATATTTTTTTTTTTTAAAAAAGCTCAACCTTCAACATATATCTTGCAAAATATTGAAAAACAGATGTAAATGGAATAACGAATATCCGTGTTAAGCTTATCAAACATTGCTGGTATTTTTTTTAATGTTTAGTAATCACGATAACCATCAATGACGATAGTTGCAATAAGGGGAAATAAGATGTACGTAACAAAAAACTACAAATTACAAAATAATAACAAATATGATAAAAATGAAATTAATTATATGTAATTAATAAAAATCAAAACTATACAATACATCAGATTGAAAAACAACCATCGCGCTATTATCTTGTTTGTTTTTTTTCTGCTGGCCTACGGGGAATAGGTTAATTAAAAATTGAAATTGGCGAATAAATTTGCTATGTTGCCAAATTAGAGCTAAGTAAACCCAGTACATAATAAAATGTGTTACTTACTTGGTGTTTTATGAAATTGTAGCGATTTTTTGAAAAATATTGAGACAACTTTCTCAAAATACATCACTGTAACACACAGGAGAATGCTATTTCATTGTGCCATGAGACAATAGCTTCATGATTTTACATAATAAACCAATAAACATTGTCATGCGATTTATAACCAATTTTCTCAACAATTATGAGTATGTTTCTACCTTTAATGTTTGTAGCCATTGATTGATACAGGTTATAAATGTTACTTCTATTTGTATGTGTAAATTGTTTTCACTTTGTAATGCTGCTTTAAATGACCACTTTTATGATCTCTAAAGGTCACACAACCTAGTACTTTCGTTAGCATGAAAATAAAAAAATCATGTTATTGATATTTCAACCCAATTTTCTAGACTTGACTTGTTTTAAGCTACGAGAATGAAATGTGCTAGGAACAAAGAGACGCATTCAAATGGCCATATTGTGCATGTTTGTGGCGCTGAATGTGTTACCTTTAGGGGTCATGAAAGTGACCTATCAGAGCAGACGATTTATTGCTTTCCGCTCTTGCCAATAAGCGAAGACGTTACTGGTTACCTCTAACCGCATATGATACCGTCCAAGTGCGCCTCTTGATGCAATACTGGTGCTTCTTTTGTTGACTCCCGAAGAGTTTTTACAAAATGTTAAATGTAATTTTCCATGAATAAGATTATCATTTGCGATAGGTTGTATTGTCTTTTCATGGCTTAATTTATTGAGTGTGTACGTCACCAGATTTTACTGCCTTATAAACATTCTGTTTTAATTGATCAATAAAACAAAGTACAGAGTACACAGTTTTTTAAATTGAGTGTTATCGCAAATGTGAAATCATTTTTGAGTCCTTGGAATTAAACTGTTGTTTTTAAAGAATTGTTTTGAATCATGAAAGATAATAAGAAAAGGTAAGAAAAAATAATTCACTATTTGAATCTCGTTGTTGTATAATTTTGGTGAGCGCTGTCAATTTTCTTGGTTATAATTAGTATTTAGCTTTTTTTAGCTCTAACAACTAGATTCTATTTTGAACAGTAATTCTCTAATAATTTGTAAGATTTTTTAAAGTGAGTTTTGCAGTTCAGAATAAGTTTTTGATAAAATAGGTATGTCACACGCATCTACCATGTGTGCTTTTTCAGCGTGTTAGTGCGCCCGCTTCAGGCAAATTATTGAGTTCACGACCTGAAGTTGTTACCTGATTCGTCAGCTGTGGTCGCAAACGAAGTGTTGTTGTAAATCATGTTGTCACTTTAGTTTGTTCGAGTTATCAACAATGGAAACTTGAATGATCGCTAATATATGTGACGGATACTTGGAATACTATGATAACTATACCCTGGTTATGTGAGAAATGGGTGAAGTCATTCTGACTCATGCAGCCATGGTAGTACGGCGGTGGCGCGACGGTAACTCGTGAAATATAGATGCCGAAGCTGGTCATCCAGTGAAAACTTGTATCATGACTTACTATGTACGACTGCGTATAGGATATCGAACGTTTGATGTAAGGAGAGAATTGCTGTTACGTGAGAGTGAATATTTTCAGGTTGCGTTATCTGGTAAATGGGGCGAGGTCGCGCAACACGAAGTAGAGTTGAAAGGTCACGTTCCAACCGAGAAGGCAGCTAAGGTGATTTTCGACTTTTTGGAAACACGTAAGCTAGTTCTTCAAGAAGAAGACGTGGAAGAAGTTGTCATGGCTGCCGACTTCTTGCAGATCGCCTCCGTATTTTCCGCACTACAAGAGTTAATGACTCTCGACAACTGGACTGAATTTCTGAAATTGGCCGAGATATTCCCTCAACTGAAAAATACTGTTTACCAGTTTCTTGGCGATCGGTATCTACTTGTTTTAGAATGTGAGCAGTTTGGTACACTTTCTTCTACCACAAAGGACTATATTAAAAAACTCCCACTCCAAAATAGAACAACCACAATTTGCGTGATCGGTAGTGACTTACAAGTGTTATATTACCATGACAACGACAGCAGCTGGGAGCGTTTAACTTATGTTAACTCTTACGAGGTATCTGTGCGTGATTTTGTTGAATCTGGATCTGCTGTTGCGGTAGGCCATCGCCTCTTTGTGTTAGGGAGAAATAATAGGAAACACGCCCCCTTTGTTAAATCTATCAAAGTTTACGACAAATTTGTTTCATACAACACAAAAACTGACGAGTGGACAGATTGCGAGGCATTGAACATGACGTTGCCGCATCGAGACAACATAGCACAGTTTTGTCTTGTTAATCTGCGAGATTGTATATATGCCTTTGGAGTAGGAGTTAATCACAAATATTGCCCGGATGAAGATAGATGGGTTGAAGTCTCGGAACCACCCGTGATGGCAATGCCATATCTGTGGAGTGAAAACCGTTTCCTGCAAACTCCTGTTGTTTCATGCAGTGATAACATGTATGTTCTTTGTCGGAACTCTGAGAAAGAACGCTGCTTAATTCGATACGATTCTTCAAAAGACGAGTGGAATGAACCACGGCTTCTACCGAATTCAGACAATGCAACGTTCACAACTCTTTTGTCTAATGACACCGACGTGTACCTTCTTAACCGTGCCAAATGTAGTCATACCAGTCGCCGTGCCGGTAGAGATGTCATCCAGCAAATTTTTCAGTTCAATGGAACCACGGGCAGTTTTACGCTGAAGCACAAGCTACGTTATCGAGGACACAGTCAGATTGGAAAATCTCATTGCATCGTTGATGACAAGCTGTATCGATTTGATGATGACAAAACTGTTTGTTTCACACTTCCTAACATGAGTAATGAATCACACTTGCCGCGTGTACCCAACACCGTGGTTGCTGCACTTGGCATCAGTGTTCCCAGGGATTTTCTATATTAAAATGAAGTAGTTGATAACAGTGTTGGTCCAGTGCTTTTAAGACTGTTGCATGAAAAGACAACTTGTAATAATTATATTAAAACGAAACAAATAATTCATGTTGCTACGTCAACACAATTTTTAACTAACATCCGTCAAAGCCATGATTTGTTTTATTTTACGCCTCAGTTATATTGTTCTTACCTTCAGGTTCAAGGTCTAAATGTGACTTGTGACATTTTGTTAATTATCTCAGTTTTGAGGGGGTTCCTACTAATATCAGTTGTTTTATCTTTTTTTTAATAACCAGGTTACCTAAATAAGCCATGTATAACCATGCAGTGTATGTACACACCACAACGGCGATGTCATGAACGTATCTCATTCTGGTCACAAATGAGATCATTAACACTATTTCAAGATATTGTTATTTATTACTATTTTTTGGCGGTTTAACTTGCTGTTAGGAAGTTTTTAAGGTGCTTGAGATGTGATATAAACAATAACAAACATTATATACAATGCGTTTCTCATGTGCTCGCGTCGGTTCTGATTGATGAAATCAATCCTTCTGATCTAGTGAGGAATCTTGGGTTTCACATTGATAGTTTTGCTTTACCCCATAAACAAATTTACAAATGTGTGTA